AATTCTTTTTTTTTTATTGAAAAGTTTTATAAAATTACAGTATACACCCCAAAACCCACCCACCCTAAACCCCCCCTCTCCCTCCCCTACTTCCCAGAGCTGAGTACAGGGTTACAAATATAATAATCAAACTCTAACTAACATTAACCAACTGTATAAATAACCAAGTCCATAATGCGCTTTAACTCCCCTTTAACATAGGTATAAACAAATTAAAATAAACATAATAATATAAGCAAGTCGATATTATTAAACAATACAATATCCAAATTGTTAACAATACTAATACTAAAAATAATAATAAAACTAATAAAAATTCTACTATAATAAACTATTAATAATAATAATACTCTAAAATTTACTCATAAACTAGAAGATAGAACTTTTTAGTCCCATATTTATTCTGAATATAATCTATCCATCTTCTCCAGACCGAAATGTATCTTTCTTGTGAATGATCCTTCAAGTAAGCAGAAATTTTCGCCATTTCTGCTAAATTTGACACTTTGAGCGTCCATTCTTCTATTGTAGGCAACTGCTAAAATTCTTAGCAATAGCCGTGTTGGCTGGGAATCCTGGGAGTTGAAGTACACACATCTCAAAGGTTGATGCATTTTAAGCTCTGTGGCCAAAGAGGGCGCATTTCTCTTTGGGTGCCAAAAATACCAAACAGGAAATCCACAGACCTTCTCCAGCTACAAACCTGATCCAGTTTTTGGTTCTGCCTTCTTTCCTGCTGAGAAATCACTAAGGCAGATCCCTAAGCTGGATCCCTCTGTGCCTGACTTAATTTAAAAATAAATAGCAAATACTGAGAATTGGTTCAAGCAGAGAATGGGAAGATGGGCTAAATTTTGCCCCCCAGAGCCGAGTCTACGTGTAAAACAAGCCCCGTACCTCCCTCCCAATGGCTGAGCTGTAACCATAACAACATAAATAAGATAAAACCAGCCATTCACTTTGCACAAAGGGCTCCCTCCAGCCTCAGCATCTGAGGCCAGGATCTTCTTCCATTGCACATGTTGAGAGCAGCTCCTCCTGGTTCTTCCCTCCTTGAAGCAGCACAAAAGGTTGAGACTCCCAAAGACAGACCCCCCAAAAGAGAAGAGCAGCCCTCGGGGATTACATAAACCAGCAAGTGGAAACGAAGGCACCCCAACGCGAGAGAATGAACTCCGCTGGGCTGGAGGTTGTGAATTTGTATTCACCAGCAGCGTAAAGTATTTAATTTGGCAGATGTCTAATTCTTTATTTGCTATTTGCAGAGGAGAGAGCACTGCAATTATCAGCCCACTCGATAAACATCTAACTTTGCACGGACAGAGATGCCAGGCAATGCCAAAGGACAGAGAACAAGATCAGCAAAAGGGCTGCATATTACGGAGCGCTAAGAGGCAGAGGGAGGAAAGGGGCTGAGCCCCAAGTTCAAGAAGAAGAAGGTCATAAGCTCCCATTTGGCAGAAGTGGTTCAGGTAACTCTCAGCACAAGAGCATGCTTCTCAATGAAAACTATAGCCAGACCATTTAAGTGCTGAGAGAGTTCCGTTTATTTATTTGAATTTATTAGCCACCCAACTTCAAAGGACTCTAGGCATGAGAATCATCGCTGTAGACATCACAAAAGTCTATCTGAGCCCTGGACTAGCAGCTTCCCTATGGAGCTGCTCCCCCAAGGCAGTCCCACCACAGGTCAGAGCTGGGGCTGGTTGTTGGGTCAAATGCAAGCCAGGAGAGGGGATGCAGAGAGGCAGAATGCAAAGGAGCCCCTGCCTTTTTCAGGCACCCCAACCTCTAGCCTATATCACAACTGGCACGTCAGACCCAGATCTCAGTAGTTACGTCTGGATCCAACTCTGAAGCCCTGGCTGACTCCTGGGATGTGTGAAGTTACTTTTTAACCAACAGGGGCATCCCCATTTTCCCCTCTTTGAGATAGATTTCCATCATAGATGGGGAACTCATTAAATTTGCGGATGACACCAAGCTGGTAGGAATAGCCAACACTCCAGAAGATAGGCTTAGATACAGGAGGACCTGGACAGACTTGAACACTGAGTGCTATCTAACAAAATGAGATTCAGTGGTGAAAAAAGTAAGGTTCTACATTTAGGCAAGAAAAACCAAATGTTCAGGTATAGTATAGGGGGTACCTTGCTCAATAGTAGTGACTGTGAGAGGAATCTCGGAGTCCTAGTGGACAAAATATGAGCCAGCCATGTGCTGCAGCTGCCAAAAAAAAAAGCCAACAGAGTGCTAGGCTGCATTAGAGGGGTAGAATCAAGATCACGTGAAGTATTAATACCACTTTACAATGTCTTGGTAAAGCCACACTTGGAATACTGCATTTTTGGTCACCATGGTGTAAAAAAGATATTGAGATTCTAGAAAGAGTACAGAGAAGAACAACAAAGATGATTAGGAGACTGGAGGCTAAAACATATGAGGAAAAGTTGCTGGAATTGGGTAAGTCTAGTTTAATGAAGAGAAGGACGAGGGGGGACATGATAGCAGTCTTCTAGTATCTCAGGGGCTGCCACAAAGAAGAGGGAATCAAGCTATTCTCCAAAGCGCCTGAAGGCAGGACAAGAAGCAACGGATGGAAACTCATCAAGGAGAGAAGCAAGCTAGAACTAAGGAGAAACTTCCTGACAGTTAGAACAATTAACCAATGGAACAACCTGTCTCCAGAAGCTGTGAATGCTCCAAGACTGGAAGTTTTTAAGAAGAGACTGGACAGCTATTTGTCCGAAATGGTGTAGGGTTTCCTGCCTGGTTGGACTCGATGACCTCCAAGGTCCCTTTATTATTATTATTATTATTATTATTATTATTATTATTATTATGGATCATCGCACAGTCAGCCAAATGTTCAGACTGGATTTGGCATTTTGTCTACCTATTGAGTCCTTACCCAGGACCTGGGATAGGCAGATGTGGATGTTTGATGGTATTACAGATATCGTCGCAGGATGGAAGCAGTTCCTAATAAGGCCGCTTTTTGCAATTGACTAATAGCGAATTTGTCAATGCCAATGGTGTTCAAGTGGTGCTCCAGTTGTTTTGGGATTGCACCCAAGGAGCCTATTACTATTGGTACTGCCCTTGCTTGCTTTTGCCACAGTCTTTCTATTTCTATTTGTAGGTCTTTGTATTTTGTTATCTTCTCCAGTTCTTTCTCTTCTATTCTGCTGTCTCCAGGCATTGCCACGTCCACTATCCAGACTTTTTTGTCTTTCTTATCGACAATTGTTAAGTCTGGGGTATTATGTTGCAGGTGCTTGTCTGTTTGAATTCTGAAGTCCCAGAGCAGTTTAATTTTATCATTTTCTATGACTTTCTCTATTTTATGATCCCACCAGTTTTTGCTTACAGCAAATGATATTTTTTGCAGATCTTCCAATGCACCATTGTTGCTGCTTTGTCATGCCGCTGCTTGTAGTCAGTCTGTGCAATCTTCTTGCAACAGCTTACCAGGTGGTCCACTGTTTCTTCAGCTTCTTTGCATAGGCGGCACTTACTGTCTGTTGCTGTCTTCTCAATTTTGACTTTATATGCATTTGTCTTTAAGGCTTGATCTTGTGCAGCCAGAATTAGTTGTTGTTGTTGTTATTATTATTATTATTATGGATCATCGCACAGTCAGCCAGATGTTCAGACTGGATTTGGCATTTTGTCTACTTATCGAGTCCTTACCCAGGACCTGGGATAGGCAGATGTGGATGTTTGATGGTATTACAGATATCGTCACAGGATGATGATGATGATGATGATGATGATTATTATTATTATTATTATCCGGTGGTTCCCAGACTTCAGCCATCCATCCAGGTTTGCTAGGGCTGATGGAAATTGTGGGCCACCTGGTCTCTCTCTGCTCTCAGCATCAAGACAATGGTTGTCCAAGGGATGTCCAGGACTCACGAAACCTGGATACCTGCTGTCATTGCAGCTCATGTGAACAGCAAAGCAAGACAGCCTTTGAGAACAAGGAGGACACACAGCTCCTAGAACCGCCTGCCTGCCTTTGCACTTTCCAATCACGAGCTGAAGGAAAGTCCCAGCCCTGGATCACTCATGGATCCAGTCCGTTTCAAATATAGTATTTTATTTCCCCAAAATAAACAAGCATTCCAGATGGATGGGCCTCAGTTAAGGGGAAAGCAGCATTTGGGGAAGCAGAAAGGCAGAGGATGTAGGACAGTGTTTTTCAACCTTGTCAACTTAAGACAGGTGGACTTCAACTCCCAGAATTCCCCAGCCAGCATGCCAGTTCTGTCAGAGAATAATAAACATTTCCACTAGACAGCCATTTGTCTGAAATGGTAGGGTCTCCTATTCAAGCAGGAGGTTGGACTAGATCTCCAAGGTTCCTTCCAACTCTGTTATTATTCTATGTTCTAAGTTGTGCAGAAGCCCTTTTATGCATCCGCACATGAACTTTAAGAGTCAGCTTGTCCAGCAGTAGCAGCATGCAAACAGGAATGGAGCTTCACTAGGGTTAGCAGCTACTAAGACTGTTGGCCCAGCCGGTACAAAAATAGCCAGGGAAATAATGGAAGCCTGGGAACCAGGCGCCTTGACAGTCAACAGGAGTACTGATTTACTACCAGCTTATCAGATGCTCAGGAGCCAGGACTTGGCATCACAAGGAAACAACAGCCAATGACTTAATAGTTGGCCATCAACACCCCAATCAACATCTAAAAGGCACCATATAAATCCCACAAACAGAATAGCTCAAAGCACACACTCTGCTAGAGAGAAGTTCCCTGAGGATGGGCTTCAGCACGAGACCCAAAGCCCAAAAGACTAAATCTCTGGTCCCAGTGAGCGACCCAGATGGTCATTCTCCTGGGACACAGATATTCGCCTTCATTCAGAAAAAGAGAAGTGCCAAAAACCTTTGCCTGCCCTGCTGCAGGATTCATTTTGCATGGATTCAGTCTTTGGGCATCTGCATCTTTGAATAATATCAACCGTCTGGAGTCCTCAAGACTTACCTGGATGTTGTCGAAGGAGGCTCGGTTTGTGACATCGTAGAGGAGCAGCAAAGCTGAAGAAAGAAGGGGAAAAAAATAAAAGTTCAGAGCTAAAGGCTGTGCAATTCAGCTATGTCAGCCACGTATATGTTGTATCTAGGACAGGGGTAGGCAACCTTGGCTCTTTTATGATTCGTGGACTTCAACTCCCAGAATTCCTCAGCCAGCCGTGCTGAGGGGAAACGGTCATAAAAGAGAGGTTTCCTGATGCTGAGAAATCCTTAATGTTCAATAGAGCACTTTTCAGCCTTGAGATTTTTACGCTTTGTTACTTTTACACAAAAGACATCCAAAATGCCCTCTCTTCTCATTTGTTGGAGAATTTATGCTCCATCCCTTTTACTTTAGTGACTTCCAGTATTTTAGAAAACCTTCAGTGGCTGAAAATTCTCACCCGGTGGTTTAATGAGAGGATTCCAAAAACTCAAAAAAGGCATCCCTGACAAACTCTTGACCAGTTCTGGAGGGGCTTAAGGAGCCAAGCTTAGGGTGCCCATTCAAACCCTAAAAGTTAAACTAAACATTTTGGCTTCTCCTGCTTAGGAGAGGCCACACTCTCTACAGTCCCCAGGTGGAGCAGAAAGAGCAGGGAACACTGCCAAATTATTAATATCAAATAAGGTATTAATATAATTAAAATAAGTTCTTAACAGTTTCAAAATAAGCAGGTAGTGCACTCAGCTAGAAATTTATTATTTCATATAAAGACCTCCGAACAGAAACAATCTTACAGACTTGGCATTAGTTCCAGTAAATTCTGAATACCTGGGAAAATCCTGGAAAAGGTAATCAAAAAACAGATCTGTGAACAACTAGAAGCAAACAAAGTTATAACCAGTAGCCAGCATGGGTTTATTAAAAACAGATCATGCCAAACCAATCTTATTTCATTCTTTGACAAAGTGACTATATTAGTAGGCCAGCGAAACGTTGTGGACATAGTATACTTAGACTTCAATAAGGCATTTGATAAAGTAGACCACAACCCTTGCTTGGTAAATTACAAATAGGTGGGATAGACACATCACCATCAGATGGATCTGTAGCTGGCTGACAAACCGTACTCAGCAAGTAGTCCTCAATGGCACTACATCCACTTGGAGAGAAGTCAGCAGTGAGGTACCACAAGGCTCCGTCTTAGGCCCAGGACTCTTCAATATCTTCATCAATGACTTAGATGAGGGAATTGAAGGGGAACTCATCAAATTAGCAGATGACACTAAACTGGCAGGAAAAGCCAACACCCCTAGAAGACAAGCTCGAGATCCAAAAAGATCTTGACGAACAATAGGCCCTATTCAGCAAAATTTAATGTGGAGAAATCAAAGTTTTTCATTTAGGCAGGAAAAACCAAAGGTTTAAGTGCAGATTAGGCAAGACCTGGCTCAAAAACAACAACTGTGAGAGGGACCTTGGCGTCCTAGTGGACAATCACTTGATTATGAGCCAGCAGTGTGCAGCAGCAACAAAAAAGCTAATACAATCCTGGATTGTACAATATAAAGAGAGGCATAGAATCAAGATCACGTGAAGTATTAATACCGCTTTATAAAACCCTAGTAAGACCACACTTGGAATACTGTAGCCAATTTTGGTCACCATATCACAAAAAAGATGTTGAGAGTTTGGAAAAAAAAATTCAGAAAAGAGCAACTAAAACAATCAAAGGCCTGGAGACTAAAACATATGAAGAATGGCTGCAGGACTTGAGTTTGGCTAGTCTAAAGAAAAGAAGAAACAGGGGTGACATGATAGCAGTATTCCAGTATTTGAGGGGCTGCCACAAAGAAGAGGGGGGTCACATTATTCTCCAAAGCACCAGAGGGCAGGACAAGAAACAATGGTTGGAAACTGATCAAGGAGAGAAGCAACCTGGAATTAAGGAGAAACTTCCTGACAGTGAGGACAATTAACCAGTGGAACAGCTTGCCTCCAGAAATCATGGGCGCTCCATCACTGGAGGTTTTTAAGAAGAGCCTAAACAATCACTTGTCTGAAATGGTGTAGGTTCTCTTGCTTGAGCAGGGGGATGGACTAGAAGACCTCCAAGGTCCCTTCCAGCTCTATTCTATTCTAACCCCCTGCTCAAGCAGGAGACCCCGTACCATTCAGGACAAATGTATGTCCAATCTCCCTCTTCTCCGTCCAAATGTATGTTGACCCCCTCCTCCTTGTCGCAGCCTCTCAAATATTGGAACACTATCATGTCCTCCCTACTTCTTTTTTTTTCACTGGACTAGACCTACCCAGTTCCTTCATCAACAGCCACTGACTGTGGCCCAGAAGGGAGCAGGATCTAAGCAATTGTATCTGATCTTGAAAGCAAACCACCATAAAATATATATGGCAGAACTCTGATCACAATAATACTGACTTTTTTGACTTTCCCAACACCCCTGGCTGGTTAGCATCTGCGTGGGAGACCACAAGAAATTCAGAACTGGAAGCCAGAATGAGAACTAAAAAATGTGCCCCCCTCTGATTGCTTGTCAAACCAACCATACTGACGGAGGTCAGCAGAGGTCACCTGGAAAGAAGCACCCCTTGTGGCTCAGATGTCAGCAAGCCACATCGGGCAAACCACAGCTGGGACCAGAGTGTGCTACTAAGCAGACCAACCTCATCCAAATGCATGTTAAATCCTTTGGGGGCTTTCCAGAACATCAAAAATGTATGTCTATTCACTGCAGACCCATTTAATTTTCATTATGTAGCAAAATCCCAGACTTTTTGCAACATTTGTTTTAATTCCTGTACCAAAGTAAATATATGAGAAATTAAATCCAGCAACTAAAATATGCCCAGCCTCAAATCAGGGTCTATTCGTGTCATGAGAAGCCCCCAGTGACCAGAACAAAAGAGCAAAGCGCTCGTTTGGCACACATCAAGATGATATAAAGCATTTTGAATTCCCTTCAATTAGAATTCCATTCAAGCATTAAACCATGTTTCTCCAGAGGGGTTTTTCCCCCTTGCAATAGAGCCAATCACCGTGCTGAAGATACAATCTCAATTTTAATTACAAAAAGTGACAGTTGCTGATCATGCCGCAAGAATGAAGAAATTAATCTCCCATAATGTTGGTTTAGCACTGGCTCACCAGACAGGTTAGGGATGCAAGTCTGGGAATCCCAGAAGCACGGCCTATCTCCGCAGCACATTCCTGACCCAAGTGGAAGAAACCAGGTTCTGCAGAAACCTCCCCCAACATTCAAGAATTCAGCTGCATTGAAACTGCAAACCTACATTCACAAGTGCAAACTTCAGACTTGAAAATGGCACGGTGGTTGTGTGAGTTGAATGTTTCCTCTAAGCCCATTTTTAGCAGGTCCAGAATCAGGGCTCAGCGTGGTTAAAACTGTAAGAGAGGTTTTTTTAAAAGACTTTTTCCCATCACACAGAGGGAATACGGGCAGTCCTAGACTTACAACAGTTTGTTTAGTGACCGAAGTTAGAACACCACTGAAAAAAGTGACTCATAAGCGTTGTTCACACTTACGACCGTTGTAAAATCCACACGGTCGCGTGATCAAAATTCAGACGCTCGGCAGCCGGTTCATATTTATGCTGCCAAGTGTCTGGAGTTTTGATTGCGTGACTGTGCGGATGCTGCAATGGTCGTTAAGTGAGAAAAATGGTCATAGTCTCCTTTTTTCAGTGCCATTGTAATTTCGAAGGGTCTCTAAGTGAACTTTTGTAAGTCAGGGACTACCTGTATTCACTGGTAAAGGTACGTAGTTCTTGACTTATGACCAGTTGCTTAGCCAGCATTTGGAGTTCCAACAGACCTACCTGGGAACTACCTATGACCCAGGTTCCCCCCTCCCCCACCATAGTCACGTGACTGCACTTTGGGTGCTCAGCAACCAGACTGCAATTATGTTTTTTAGGATGGTTTGGCTGAAAACAGGCTCTAGAGTGAACCACTGGTTTGTTTAGTGTAGGGGTAGGCAACCTTGGCTCTTTTATGACTCGGGACTTCAACTCCCAGAATTCCTGAGCCAGCATGGGGGAACTATGGCCCCTTCATGACTCGTGGACTTCAACTCCCAGAATTCCTCAGCCAGCATGGCTCAGCTTGGAAACCTCTTCCTGTCCCCTCAGCGTGGCTGGCTCAGGAATTCTGGGAGTTGAAGTCCACCAGTCATAAAAGAGCCAAGGTTGCCTACTCCTGGTTTAGTGACTACTGTGTTCCCTTAACAACCGCTGCAAAAAAGATCATAAAGTTGGGTTGGTCACATGACCAAACTACTTTATGACTATCCCAACTTTCTACTGTAATGGTCAGGCCCCATTACAGTCGCAACTCGAGGACTGCCTGTAATTCGATTGTGGTTTGACTGGAAATGGCCACCCTTTCCGTTCCACAAAATTTACCCCCCCCCAGGCACTTCTTGTTCTCCGAGAAATAAATGAGATTCCCAGAAGCAACTCTCTCCCTCCTTCACAGTTTTCTCATTATCCTTTTAATCATTCTCACTTAACAAGCTCTCTCCCCACTCAAGAAGCTGCTCAGGGCTATTTGCTCAGATTGCCCGGTTCCATTTTTTCAAAATCTAATACAAGCTGCCAAGAAGCAAATTCGGTTTAATTCTCTGAACCCTGACTGGGAACCACTGGTTTAGCTCAGGGGTGTCCAACCTTGGGAACTTTAAGTCAGCTATGCTGGGGAACTCTGGGAGTTGAAGTCCACAAGTCTTAAAGTTCCCAAGGTTGCACACTCCTGAGCTAGGACATAGAATAACAGAGTTGGAAGTAACCTTGGAGGACATCTAGTCCAACCCCCTGCTGAAGCAGGAGAGTCTATATCATTTCAGACAAATGGCTGTCCCTCAAGACCTAGATGCTGCCTCTTCAGAGGATGGGCCAATAAAGACATCATGGATCTAGGGCAGTGGTTCTCAACCTGTGGGTCGGGACCCAATTTGGGGTCGAACAACCATTTCACGGGGGTCGCCAAACAAGACTGTCTGCCATTTTTTCCCCCTTTTCTTTGGCCATGCCCCTGGCACCC